ATATTATAATTCCTATTATATTACTTAAAAACCCTCTTAAACAATCAACCAGCCAACCAATTTTAAAAATCCGCTTAAAGGCCATTGTTCATTGGTATTTTCAAATAATGTGTGTTTTAGACCCTATTCTACATGACCAGTCCAGAAGGGGTTGAATTTGCTTTCATCTGAGCCCTGTGCACTCCCAGCATGGGGGAGAAAGGTTTAAATAAAGGAATTTCTTTTTCTCTTCACTCTTCTCTCCTTCTTCCAACCATAGCGTAAGGAGGAGGTCAGATTCTAAAATTACTGTTCTGGTTTTAAATTGAATATTGAGTTTTATTATTTTAATACACTGACTTTGTATTGAGTCTTTCAAAGAACAACAATAAAATACAGGTATTTGTAAAAAAAATCTTCTCAAAACAGAATTCCTTTACTGAGCTGAGTACAAGAATGGACGCATGTATAATCTGGAAGATTAATAAACTTTATGCTATTTTGTGGAATACATTTGTAATCTTTAAACTGGATTTTAAAACAACAACTACGGCCTTTTGTGTTTGAAAGTACTGCGTGCCTTCTAAAGGAGCCACAGTGGTGTAGGGGGGTAAGTGCAGGGCTGCTAAGTGAAAGGTTGACGGTTCCCGGCCACCAGACGCTCTGAGGGAGAACTATGAGGCAATCTACTCAACGGAAGCTGTCAAGATTTACAGCCTGGAAATCCAGTGGGCTGTTGCCTTGAGTTCAAATCAGCTCAGCGAAGCGGGTTTTGATGGGTCATGCTTTGCTTCTGATTTCTCTCGCTTTATGGACTTTTGGGTTATGTCTCAAAGAACCTCTCCCTCGGGGATTATTGGGGAAGGGAAGGTGAGGGACCAAGTCCCCAGCCCTCCTCTACTTCCACTTTCACTAGAGCCCCAAAGTTTTACCTGCTTTTTATTTTGGAGAGGGTGCACCTGCTAATATGTGTTGTTGTTGTCAAGTGTCGTCGAGTCGTAGGCGACTCATAGCGACCCTATGAACGAAAGTCCTCGACCCTTGTGTGACTTTCATCCTTTCTCCATGTTCATAGGGTTTCCGGAGGCGAGCTATTACAGAAGTGGATGCCACTTCAAAAATCACCAACATGATTGATAAAATTTTGTTTTATAAACAACTTTTCAGGAACATACCTTCTTTGCAAAGAAAAATAAACTTCAGTCATTAAAAATATACCATAACAGTGGAGTCTGACTAAGAAATACTCCAGGGGGGCTTCCCATGACCACTTGGCCCTTGAGCTTGCCCACAGTCTCCTCAGGGGCGGTGTCCACGGTGCTTCACACCAAACCCAAGAGCAGCCATGCGGAGCACAGGTCAGAAAGGAGAAGTATCTGACTCTGATGTGTTAATGATGCTCTCATCTCTTGGCAAACTCCAACAATGACTCTGTAATTCTTTTTTTCAGAGAGCTGGATTGAAAGATGTCTCAACGAAAGTGAAAACAAACGTTATTCCAGCCACACATCTCTGGGGAATGTTTCTAATGACGAAAGTAAGTGCTTGGAATTCATTCTCTCACAAAATCCTATACATCTTACATCCTGATGGAAAGATTGGTGTTTGGTTCAAAGCTTATAGACCAGTGAGGGGCAAATGGAACAGCTGTTGGTGCCCTGACTAAATACTTCAGAAACTCCCTGTAGTATGCCCCCACTCAGAGACAGAGGAAGCTGGACAGGTGGGCATGGAAGCCAAGGCCACTGTGAAAACTCCCTGTGTGGACTCTCCCTCACAGGTCTCTGCAGGCCCTACAGGTGATGCTCCAATGGAATGAATTTTGATCCCCCATGGGAAAGGTCACCCTTGGCGTCACTTGAGCATATAGGTTTAAAGTAGCTGTGCTCTGGGCTTGTTGAAATAGAAAAATTGTGTCTAGGTCTTGGACTGAAGAAGTGGCGTTAAGTGAAACCTAGAAACAGATGTTTCCACTTTGCCCTGTTTTGTATCAGATGTGGGTGTTTAAGTGTCTTATTTCTGAAATCAGCATAATTGAGGCTTGTATTTGGTCCTTAAAAAAAAAGATATCATCCAGTTGCCAACAAGTCAGTTCTGATTCATGGCAACTCATGTACATCAATGTAGAATGCTTGACTCTCCAGGGGCTTTTCAGAGGCAGTAAATTAGGGAGCTCAGGTGGCTTAATGGTAAGGAGCTATGATGCAATCCCAAAGGCACAGGTTCAAATCCACCAGCGGCTTTGTGGGAGAAGGATGGGCAATCTCCTCCCATGTGATTAAACTGCCTCTGAAAACCCCCTGGGGGCTCAGGTACAGGTCAATTCCGACTTGATGGTACACAACAACAAGAAATTGCAGGGAAGGAAATTGCCCATCTTTCTCCCTCAGAGCAACTGGTAGATTTGAACTGCATGTCTTCAGGTTAGCAACACAACTCCTGTAGGATTTTCAGTGGCTGAATTTTTAGGAGTAGATCACCAGGCCTTTCTTTCATGGCACTTGTGGGTGAACTTGAACTATTCAGTTAGCAAGCAAGCACCTTTGCCATCCCCGTATGTGGGCACTCTGATTGCCTCTTGCACACTACAGAAGGTGGTTGGTTTGTTAGAAATGCTGTTTCTAAGCAGAGCCAAAGTCCCAGAAGTTATCTCTTTCTGAAGTTTCTGTCTTTAGTCCAGTTTTCTCAAAGCCTGGGCCAGAGGCCAATGGCTCCATAATCCTTTATGATGTTAGTTAACCTGAACAGCCTGTTTCTGTGTTGCTATTCTATCCCTGTCGTTTCATCTCGTTTTGTGAAATGAAGATAAAGTCAATGTAAAGTGCACAAATCTCATGTGAATGATCTGCTCAACTTTATTTTTGATATCTTATATTCATTTCATGCACCCAGGGAAGACTCTCTCTCAGGTCCCCATCCTTCTCCCTAACCACTGTCTTGACTTTTATTACCATAAATCAGTTTCACCTGGTTTTAATATAGAGTGGGTGCTTGGAATCCTGGAATCTTGATTGTGTCTGTATTGTTCTTTTCAAAATAGTATCTGTGAGATTCTTTCATGTTATTAGGTATAGTAGTGGTACCAGTTCTTTCTTTATGTATAATATTTAGCTGGGTAAAATACAGCACAGGAGGGGAAGACCCTCTATGAGGTGGATTGATTCAGTGACTGGGGTAATCGGGATGGGTGTGTCCGAGGCAATGTGATTGGCACAGAATAGAGCAGGGTTTAGGGCTGTTGTATATAGGGTCACTATGAGTCTCAAGTGACTCGACGGCACATAACAACAACAACATGTCCACATGGCCAACTATGCAGATAACAGGAGCTCTTAGCTTTGCTGGATTTATTGTTTTCTATTTTTTTCAATCTTCCTTTCTCAGTTCTCCGCCTGGCTTTGTCACAAGCCCTGTCCTCTCTACTTGGATCATCTTCAGGGTCATATTCAGATCCTGAGCTCATCGCTTTACTTGGCTTTTTATCTGAAGTTTTTCCTGCGTCTTTCACACTTGATATCTTTTTATCAACTTCCCTGCCTTCACTTCCTCTTCCTTCTCTTCTTCACACTCACCTTCTTCCTCTTCCACCTCAGGGTTTTCTTTCATTTCTATCTGCACCATATTTCCTTCTTCTCTCTCCTGATCACTGGCCACAGCTTCCCAATCATCTAACCCACTATCCTCAGGTTCAACAGGACGTTGCACCTCTTCTCGGTCAGGTCCGCCCTGCTCCACAGCATGGAGTGCAGCACTTAATTCTCAGCCACTTGTTTATCTTCTAGATGTTGTGCTTTCTCCCTTTATTTTATTTTCATAAATTGGCCTTTTCTTTG